GATTTGGTCGTCTGAGACAAATTTAGAAAATACTAAAAGATTCCGATAATCCTAGGCTAAAATCTGTAGTCTTTGATCGCTGATAGCTTGCCTTTTCTATGATAAACACCAGTTGCACTGCTGTTTTCATGTGGGTGTGTGATGCTGCTTGCACTATTCTTTTGAAATACGCCGGTATTGCCGCCATTCATATACTTTTAATGACAGCCAACATGAACGTGTATGGGTTGATAATGTAGAACTCCGGACAAGTTTTCTTGCAATCACCCGTTTTTAACGCGTCTTGACTGTTGTACAGTCTGATATTAATGACAACTGAGATCCCACAGTGTGACATGATCATCATGTTCGTACAGTCTGACAAGTACAATCCTAAAGGACTTTTAAAAATCGCACAGTGTGAGCCTGGCTTAAGACTTTCAGAAATGGCTTTTGACGCAATCGATCCGGGTTCGAATCCGCCTTTTGCCGAACTATATATAATCACTTATACTCTATGGGCCTCATTTATGAAACACGAGCAGAACAAATTTTTGTGTAAATCGTTCGTAAAGCCGTTCTGACAACTTTCAAAATACGAACATTTTCATAAATTTCAAAATGTTAGTTGGTACGAAAGCAATGTACAACTGCTCCCTACCACGTGTAATTTAACTTCACTGCCATCATAACATTTTACAAGTTCGTTTGCTCTTAATATTGGATTTTATTGTAGCTGAGAGTTAATAACTGTTTAACTTTGGATAAAACGCAGCGCTCGTCACTGTCACGTTTTACCCAGCCTTTAAAATCAATGGAGGTGGGACAAATACCACACTGACCAACTATCCTAACTGTACTGAACAACGACTGAACAACAATGGAGAAGTTAATATTATGGGTTACTGCATTTTTATATTCAGTAATATTCTTCAAAATGAGATAATAGTAATGTTATTTCCATGGATATTCCAAATCATAGCAACCAAAACGCCTCAGCTGGAAAAACGCTGTGCCACCAAAGCGTTCTCAAGCACCACCAGTTGGCCATTTTTAGAAGAGCGCCTGGCATTTTTCAGCTGGCTAAAAACGCTTTGGTGGACACAGGTTAATTGAATATTCATTGTTAGGCAAATGCTCTATTTGTCTTTTTTGCATTTATGAAACATACTGGAGACAAACCTGAGGAAGGAGTCCAGAAGATTCCACTACGTTCCTGAACACATAACTTATGTAGCTAGTTGTAATTCATAGGTGGGGATTATGCTAATTGTGAATAAGCGTGCACACCATAGACTGTATAAAACATGGATGTAGTGTCCATGTCGTCACCCGTTGGTTTCTAAAGAGCATTTTTGAAGCCCAAAGTGGGCGGAGCCGGCCATTGCCATCTTGGCAGCACGTCACCGCGTGTCATAATACGTGGGTGGAGCTGGTTGCTGAAACCACGCCCGCCTAGCTCGACGGTGGTGACAGCAGCGCAATCCAACTGTCACTCAAGTGGCCACGCCCTTAATTATGCAGAACTTTAAGGCTTAATATAATTTAAACGGATGAGTTATAAAAAAATTCACCCACTCACAGTTGTCATGAAGGGCAAAATTAGCTATATAGACCACAACTATTTTTTGTACCAGGCTGTAAACATATTTTTTTTCTGCTGTAAAGTTGGGCATTTTAACATGGGGAGTCTATGGGATTGACTCCCTTTTGCAGCCAGCCTCTAGCGGCCAGTTGATGAATTACAGTTTAAGTCACTTCCTTGTTGGCTTCACGAGAGAGAACG